AGACTGTGTGGTGGTCACTGGTATCAATAACCTTCATCAGTACAAACATACGGAAGCATTGCTCTACCTGAATCCCTCCCTTCTCCCCCACCTCCTTCTTATCACCCTTTCCCTCCCTCTTCCCCCTCACCTTCCCTTCTTTTATCACTCTTCCATCCTCTCCCTCCCTCCTACCCCTCCGCCATGAGCTACAGTTCAACCAGGAGTCGACGACGTGTTGATAGTCCGCCACCGCTGGATCCGTCACCGTACACGACCTCCTACTGGTGCTCACACTCTCCTGCAGCAGAGGATAGACTTACGAGGGACCAGAGACCATTCACAGTGGGAGTCAGGGTAGTGTGGTGGGGGGAGTGATGGGGGAATGGGACTGGGTGAAGGTGTTGGGGTGAAGGTGTTGATCAGGATAGGATAGGAGGGGGGTAGGGTGTACGACCAAGGTGTGGTAGGGTGGAGGTGAAGGTGTGGTGGTGTTGGAGGAGGGTGTGGTGGTGTTGGAGGGGGAGGTGTGGGAGAGTTAGGTGAAAAATAGGGTGGTGAGGTGAGATTATATCCAAACCTTCACCAAGAGAGAGAGAGTGAAAATAAAATACAAACAATAAGATATATATATACATAGAAAGAGACGAAGAAATAAATGGAACAAGGACATACATACAAGAGATGACAATGAACGAGATCCAGAGAGAGAAGGGAGAGACAGAGAGAGACAGAGAGACATAGAGAGACCAATATTTACAGTAAGACGTGCCACAGGTAGGGAGTGCCCCATCATCCACCAAGGTACAGTGCCACAGGTACGATACATTACTGATGCCTCCTTCTGGTGCCGGGTCAGTTACGTCTCGCTCGTCCCTACACCCTGACGAACACCTCCGCCCATCCCTCACTCCCTCACTCAACACCTATGTCAGCCCACACCTGAACGCTCGACTGTTGGGTCCTGGTTGTTCCCTCATTTCATCCTTCCTTAATTCCTCTCCTCCCTTCATTCCTCTCCCCACTTCATTCCCTCCCCATCATTCCCCCTCCCACTTCATTCCCCTCACTGTCTCTTGCAGTACATAATGAGGAAACAATAAAAAGGCTGTGCGCACCTGATTTGTAGAGTTACAAAGAGGGCACAAGAGGGGTCAGTGAGGGAGGGTGTGAAGAGGGAGAGGGGGAGAGCAGGGGAAGAGGAGGAGGGATGGGGAGGGAAGGAGAAAGGTAACCCAACCCCACCTAACTCCTGATGATGTTACTGTAGGGGTTAAGGTGGATGAGAGAGAGAGAGAGAGAGAGAGAGACCTTAACTCATGGCTTATATCCCCCCCCCAACCCCCCCTCCCATTGGTTCCTGAACTGTATGGGTGAAGGAAAACAAATAAAACAAGAGGTTCTAAGCAAACACCTTGTATGATCCTTATCTAATTCCCCTTAGCTTACACAGGAGGCCAGAAAGATGAGGACTTAATAGAAGTCGAGACTTAATGGGGAGAACCTAATGGGGGAAGATATAATGGGGGGAAGATATAATGGGGGGAAGATATAATGGTGGGAGGACTTAATGGTTGGAGGGCCTAATAATGGAGGACTCAATGGGGGGAAAACCTAATGGGGGGAAGATATAATGGGGAAGAACTTAATAGCGAAGGACTTAATGGGAGGAGGTAGAGAGGGGGGGGGGAGGGGAAGCTGATCAATCAAGAACTGACAACACAAATATTAAAGGAACATCGCCGACATTGCTGCGTGGAACACATAATAACTTGAGTTTATTGGAGTGTGTGTGTGTGTGTGTGGAGGAGTCGGGAGAGACGCATAGGACCCTGAGATAAGAGACAGAGATGAGAGTTAGCAGCTTAGAGAGACATAGAGATGAAATACACTATGAAGAGACAGAGAGAGAGAGAGAAAGAAGACGAGAAAGAGTCGACTAGAGAAGAGATAAGACACGAGAGATACAGGAGCAGAGAAAACGTGAGGGAGTAAAAGAGAGCAGGTAAGAGACAGCCTGAGAGAGATACAGAGAGACAGCAGGCCGGAGCAAGGCAGTTTGAGAGTCGAGTTTGCGTGGTCGTGCTGCTTGGTGGGATTCTTGAGTTGTGTGTGCGTGTGCGTGTGCGTGTGCGTGTGTGAGAGAGAGAGAGAGAGAGAGAGAGAGAGCATATGTGTGACAGTGAGAAAAGTTTCGCAATATAATTCAAGGGGTAAAACAAGTGACAAAATTCAATACTTTGATAAAATAAAGTTAAATGCTCAAGTCTGTGTTTCAGTTATATTGACTAATGTGATGTAATGTATTGTACACTAATAAAAACTTAAACATTAACGTCTATATATTAAAGAATCTGGCAAATTTGAGCCTCGGAGTTTGACAAGAAGTTCCTATAGAAAAGGGCATTTATCAACACACGGGGTGCGGTGGGTTGGGGTGCGGTGGGTTGGGGTGGGGTGGGTTTGGGTGGGGTGGAGTATATGACACAGATGGTCCTCATATGGCACCATCACAGGTTGGGTCAAGGAGTTCAAGCGTGAGGACGAGAACCTTGACGATGACCCCCTGATGAGGAGTAGCCCGAGTATCAATTAAATAAGCACTGAGTTTAACATTTCTACAAGATGTGTTCCCTCGAAACCTTAGCGCTTAAGATCAACACCAGAGGGAGGCTTCGAGTCCCGAGCTCCTTGAACTGCACGGTGCAGGAACCTAACTTTCTTTTCTGTCTGATAACGGTAGATGAGACCTGGTTTCCCCACTAGGACTATCCGTCAAAGTTGGAATCCATGCACCGAAATTCCCCGATTCTTAAGAAGCCTCGGAAGTCAAAGCTCTGTCGGCAAGATCGTGGCCTTGATATTCTGGGATGCCAAAGACATTCTACTGATCGACTAACCTGCCGCGTAAAACATCGATCACCAGTCACTACTATGTCCTAATGCGAAAACTGCGTGGCGTCATCCGGGAGAAACAACGAGGAATTCTGATGCGTTCTGCTGCTGCTCCATGATGGTGTGTCCGTCCAACTGAGGGTGTGGCTTGAGGGGCAGTCAGGTAAACTTCTATAAGGCTGACATAGTGAGTTTAAAGGACCAGTGTATTAAACTCAGGAAAGACGACATTGGAATAAATAACGTGAGGTGTGGTTCTACCTTATTTTTTCCATATACCAAGTCAGTAAAACATTTTAACCGTTCCTCTTATACACTTATTAGTCACGGTTTATTACTATTGTCGTAGGTATATATCTGGCTATCTATTTCTTCTTCCCTTCACGCCCGCCCGCCCGCCCGCCCGCCCGCCCGCACCCCCTCCCTCCCTCCTCCCCAAGCAGGTGTCAGTGGTTCCTTCCTTCAAAAACATCATAGAGATAAGATAAGACCGACGGACTCCACCATGTCCCCTCCCTCTCCCTCCCTTCCCTGCCCCCTCCTCCCTCCCCCCCTCTCACCCCCCTCCTCCCCCTCTCATCCCTCCTCCCTCTCTTCCTCCCTCCCCCACAGTTTTAATTGTTGCTATCTCTGCTTTGAAATAAACTAGTGTCATCATGTATTATTTCAAGATTAAAAGGTCACACACACACACACACACACACACACACACACACATAATGACCTTCAGCTTTCTCATAACTCTTAAGAGATAGAACTGAGCCACAGGTGAGAAGGCCATTACACTGTGTGATTATTAGCTGCAGCTCTCGACAGGTGAGACTGTACACTGATACAGGTATTGAATTAGGCTCAGGGTACCTTTTTATTTTTGGATAACTTCAATATTAGTCTTCCCCCAGCTAACCTAACCTAACCTAACCTAACCTAACCTAACCTAACCTAACCTAACCTAACCTAACCTAACCTAACCTAACCCTCTCTTATCATATTGTTTATGGTAATGAGACGTTAAATTAATGTGCGTCAGTGACCTGTGCCGGGTGGACTAAAAAAAAATACCTATTGGAAAAGAACATTGGGCCGACAAGAAAGTCATGCATACACACACACACACACACACACACACACACACACACACACGCAGAGCTGCAATCAATTAGAGGAGTCATTAGATGCGCCTTGATATTGTCGCCTGTGATAACTATGGTTCATGCTGTGTGCCCACCAGCTAACATTAATTCAAACATATACTTGCTGGCGTTTATAATATACCTCGGCCACACTGCCCACTTATCACCCCTTCTCTCCACCCCTTATTACAAACCATCCACAGTGATTAAGGAGGAAAATTCAATCGTGATGAAGTCTGTACACTCAAGAGTTTTTATGATCACTCGGAGACCTTTCATATTGTATTTTTTTGGCTTGGCTTTCATCTGTCTAGTTTATGTAATTTAAGTCCTATAAATAGAAAGATTATGCACGTAAGAGTATTATATAATCAGTATATATATATATATTTTTGTGTTTTTAGGTTGGTGTCAAAGTTATCTGTAGGTTATTGATTTTCTCCTTTACCCACGTCATCGTCCGGTGGTGGGTTAGGTTCCTCATGCCCCGTGATCACCTGGCCGGGCTCACCACGACACAAGGGACCTGGTTGTAAAGCACTTGTTTCTTAAACTGCTGGTCGGTACCTCGGCACGACCACCGCGGATAACAGGGGTTCAAAAGGCGTGATGCGCACCACAGATTAAAAGAAGAAAAAAAGAACTTGTTGTACCACTTTTTAATTGCATGTTATTCGCTTTATACTGGCCAATCATTTTTCAGGGCACACCTGCGGGCAGTCATATTGACTTTATCAGATGCATAATTACGGCTTGCTCATCCATTGATTAATTACCTTCACTGACTATTTTTAAAGGTGCCTAATGAGCGTCCTTTGAGAAGTGTTGCCACAATTCACAGCTCCAATAAAAAACATGAATGATAAATATCAAGAATAGGATGTGGAGACTTCTTTCCCACGGCGGCTTGTCTCAGGGCCGCTGCACCAGCTAGAGACAAATGCCAGACATGTTTGCTCCAGGCACCACGGTCATCTGCTCCAGGCACCACGGTCATCTGCTCCAGGCACCACGGTCATTTTCTAGGCGTCTACTGAAAGCAATGACGAGGGTTGTTACAGGAGAGACGAGGTCGAATACCCGGGATTGTTGCTTGAGTTGATCTGCTGCTGAAGGTGATCACGGGACAGTATTAATGCCTCTCGGGAAACGTCAACAATAACGGTCCAGTAGAGTGAAGATGAATGGCCTTGGGTGTTGCTTGAGGCAGGTCACTGATATCGTCACCCGAGGGAGTGTCGACGTGAACTGCTGCAGGAGGGAGGTGGGGGAGACTACGTAGATTGTTCCTTAAGGTTAGGTGATGTTCCTCCAGTCGTCTTGTGGTCTCCACGCAGAAGGGAGAGACGCAGGTATGTGAGGGGATCAGTACACGCTATGTTTGGGTAGGTGTACAAGTCTAGGGAAATGGGAGAGTTTATGACATGAATTAGAACAAGCAGCAGTTATGGCGTCATATTTAGTCTATTTCACATCGTCATCCATTTGTTTCCCATTTTTGCTGTTACCAGATCGAACATCATCTAACTTGTCCAAGTGGGTCCCATAGGCATCCAGTGTGGACACAACAGTACTCTGAGAACTAAACCTTTTTTCGTACACAAGGAGGCACTGCACACGACTGCTTTCCTTCCTGCAACAGTAAGGTTAGGTAGACACTCCAACAAGATACTGTGATAGGAAAGATTTAGTAGAGAGTGAGAGCCAGCGAGTGTGAGGATGTTCAGTGCATTTACGAGACAGACAAAGGTGTATTACTTATGTTATAACTCTCTACTGTACCTCTCCCTCTCCCTCTCCCTCTCCTTCTCCTTCTCCCTCTCCCTCTCCCTCTCCTCCCTCTCCCTTTAAGGAAAATAGAAGAATGATCCAGGAGAAAGTTCAAAGTCTAAGAGAAGGTTCAAACTATAGGGACATTAATTTAAGGGAGAACATAAGAGCCAAGAAGGAGGTTCAGGGTTCAAGAAAATAAAGGTAAGGTTAATAATCAAGGTTCAGGTGGAGATAAAATATTAAGGGAGAGACTTCAGGGGTTCTGGGAGAGAAGATAGAGGTCAGGGAGGGAGAACACGTCTTGGGGGAGGGGAGCTCTAAGGTGAAGACGGTTCAGGGCCAGACGAACAGGTGAAGGTGGCAGGTGGCAGGTGACAGAAGACGAAGATAAGATGGAGGGGGAATGGGGTGTGACGGTGGGGGAGGAGGTGGTGGGGAGAGACGGTGGGGATAGAGGTAGGGGGGCAGGGAGAGATGGTGGGGGAGGAAAAGGTGGTGGGGAGAGACGGTTGTGGGAAAGGGTGGGGACAGACGATGGGGGGAGGAGGGGTGGAAAGAGACAGTGGGTGGGGGTAGGAAGGAAAGAAGGGTGGAGACGGGTGGAGGGGAAAAGAGAGGCGAAGGAGGTAGGGTGGAGTGAGTGGAGTGGGGCAGACATTGGGCGGTGGGGTAGAGAGGAGGGCAGGGGAGAGAGGAGGTAGCTGGAGAGGGGTGGAGAGGGGGGTGGAGAGGAGGTCAGAGGAGGGGGCAGAGGTCAACACACATGATGGATGGATGATAAACGTGTCGGAAACCCTCTCTGTGGTGTGACACTGTCTTCCCCACCCCCTGTAGCGCCAACAACCCTCTGGGCCTTGAGGTGAGTCTGAGGGTATGATGATCTCTGTCCTGGGCTCTGTGGGTCCTGGGCTCTGTGGGTCCTGGGCTCTGTGGGTCCCTGGGCTCTGTGGGTCCCTGGGCTCTCTGTGGGTCCTGAGCTCTGTGGGTCCTGGGCTCTGCGGTCCTGGGCTCTGTGGGTCCCTGAGCTCTGTGGTCCCTGGGCTCTGTGGGTCCCTGCTCCTGTGGGTCCTGGGCTCTGTGGGTCCCTGGGCTCTGTGGAGTCCTGGGCTCTGTGGGTCCTGGGCTCTGTGTGGGTCCCTGGGCTCTGTGGGTCCCTGGGCTCTGTGGGTCCTGGGCTCCTGTGGGTCCACCTGGGCTCTGTGGAGTCCTGGGCTCTGTGGGTCCTGGGCTCTGTGGGTCCCTAGGCTCTGTGGACCCTGGGCTCTATGGGTCCTGGGCTCTGTGGAGTCCCCTGGGCTCTGTAGTCCCTGGGCTCTGTGGGTCCTGAGCTCTGTGGAGTCCTGTGCTCTATGGGTCCTGGGCTCTGTGGGTCTATAGGCTCTGCAGGTCCTGGGCTCTGTGGCTCTGTGATGCTTGGAGTGCTGTGGGTTCTCCTGTATACATGTGTGCACTGTGGGTATATGTATACATGTGTGCACTGGGTGTATGTATACATGTGTGCACTGTGGATGTATGTATACATGTGTGCACTGTGGGTGTATGTATACATGTGTGCACTGTGGGTCCATATGTATACATGTGTGCACTGTGGGTCCATGTATACATGTGTGCACTGTGGGTGTATGTATACATGTGTAGACTGTGGATGTATGTATTTATGCTACTGAATTAATGTATGGGCTGCAGCTCTGGGTATGTGGGCCTGCGTCTCTCTCTGATATATGTATCGACTGTAACTTTATGCATACGTGTAAGGAATGTGACTTCAATGCATTTATACATAGTCTAAGGCTCTGCGAATATACATAGATAATATTACTCTATATACATGAAGATAGTGAGACTTTAAACACACATATGGAGTGCGTCACTCTATACACACATATATGGTCTGCTTCTATAACCGGTCACTGAAACACGTGTTACTATACCACGTGACGCCCACCAACACCCAGACCATGTACTTAAAATTCAACCAATACCACACAGACGCACAATAACAGTGTCTGAGTCGTGGGCAGCAAGGTTGTTTATCGTCTCGAGAAGTGTTGGGGGGAGGAGCAAGATGCACCTCGGCTCCCAGACTGCCCATCCCCCTCTCCAACCACCGGCCCCACCGTCTGCAGTAATAATGTGGTTTACAACGTATTCGCCACCTTACGGGGGATGCTTAATGGCGATAAGCTCTCCTCGCCTCCTATTCCTGCTGATACTTTAAGGTGGTCCTTTGTACGACATCTTCACCTTCAATTGTAGGAATTATTCAAATGAAATGGAGGAAGCCTTAAGTAATGACCGCAGGTATTCACGCAAAAACTCGGTGCCCCTTTGGCCAACCCGCATTCTAGTCCTTAATTTCCCGCTGTTATCTAATCTCTTTATCAGTTTGATGATTCCTTATCTATATCTCCAACTTCTCACCGTACAATACCTGTGTTACCGCGTCTCTCTATAATATATGACGAGAAAAACAGACAGATAAAGACGATAAGGTTCACCGAGCGTCCAAATTACACAGTTGGTGTAGGAGAGTATCAGAGCTCGACGCAGCTGAGGACAGTAATGATGATGGAACACTCTAGCGGCGCCGTCAGAGAGGAATCCACTACCTTTATCTAAGCCCCTCGCCTATGATCTTTTACCTTATAGCTTAAACAGTTCCTGACCTTATACTTTGTCACGATACCTGTTATATTTTAATGAGCAGTTAATTCATCACGATTAGTTTTTTTTCTGTGAGTGTGATCTTATTGTACGAGTAATTACTTAAAATATGAAGTAAAACTGAAATATTTACTAATTTAAGGAAGCAGATTGGTAAGTTGTTTTACACTTGTACTAAAATATTTATTCCTTTAACGTTGCAAATATTGTCCAGGATAATAAATATTGACTGATTTACTATAATGATGAGTATAATCACCAGCCTCCTGTCACACTAACACGTGGTTAATTCTGACCAGACGACCAAAGAATATTTTTTAGAAAATGTCCTGGCGTATCATAGTCAGTTCAGGACACACACACACACACACACACACACACACACACACACACACAATGGTCCATGTTTGTGTACAATATATCATAACTCTGAATGGTAGTGCAGCTCTGATTGCCACAAGACTCCATGTCAGGAAACTAACCTAGACTAATCTAACCTATGACTGGTAAATAGTCCAATAAGTCCTAGAGCTAAAGGGCCCTAACCTAACCTAACCTATGAAGCTCCTAAATGACACTCGCACCTCTTGGGTTCTAATCATAATGGGTCCTAACCTGAATAGATTGTCTTGGATTAGGTATGAAACCCATTAGGCCTCGGCTATACTATATGTGAGAACCCGTTTAAACTAGCCTCTCTCTCTCTCACTTACGAGGACTACTACAGACAGATCAGACTCGCTATAGCTACTACTACTACTCTGTCTAGCCATAATCAAGGGATAGCCTCACCTCCTATACCTTATTACTATCGACGGGTCTCTGGCTGGCGATAATTTCAGGGTAGGATCTCATATCAATAAACATGACCCCAGGGAAGATCAGGGGAAAAAAATATTAGTCATTACCCTAAAAAGATAACCCGTGTTTAGTTGAACCACAAGGGGAGGTGGGGGGGTGTTACTGTCAGGTTTTGGATGACTGTCAGTTCTTGGGTGACTGTCAGATTCAAGTTGGGTTTAAGTTTTGGATGACTGTCAGGTCTTGGGTAACTGTCAGATTCAAGTTGGGTTTTAGTTTTGGATGACTGTCAAATCCAGGTTAAAATTTGGCTGGACGACTGTCAGATCCTGGGTGACTGACAGCTCTTGGGCAGGTGTCAGCTCTTGGTTGATTGACACTTGAAGAAATAAATAAGTGTAGAGAGTTTGATGTCATCGTTTAAGTGTGTCAAGTACTTATAGACAATAAAGTGTTCGTTTAAGTGTTAGAATATAAGTATGGAACAAGCAGAGGAAATTCGAGTAAGAAATTAACGATATAACGCAAAAAGACATTCAACCCCCTACTCGAATCCCTGAACCCACAACCCGAACCCCTGAACCCACAACCCGAACCCCTGAACCCAGCCTGAACCCGGAACCCACAACCTGAACCCTGAACCCACAACCCGAACCCCTGAACCCACAACCCGAACCCTGGAACCCACAACCCGAACCCTAACCTACCCACCCCTAACCACAGAACCCCGAATCCACAACCCGAACCCCTGAACCCACAAAACGAACCCAAAAAATAATGCCAAATAAGTCATCATTTACGCCTTGTTGCGAGAGACTGTATTTAGTTACCACGAAAGAAGAAGAAGAAGGAACAGCAAAGACAGAGACAAATGTAAGATAAACCCCCAAAAAAAAAACAATTTAGTCTCTCCTTACTTACTTATTCATCTATTCACTTGTTATCTTTTATCTATCCATCTATCCATCTGTCTATTTATGCAGTTATTGATGTATTTATCTGTACGTTTATTTATTTACGCGATTCATTGTTTATTTATTCATTTGTTGGTGTTATTTATTTGGTTTATTAATTAATCGTTATCCTCATCATTCTCTCTCTCTCTCTCTCTGCTAGTAATTAATTCTTTCTCTCTCTCTCTCTCTCCTGTACTTATCTACCCCCACACACACACTCTCACCTCCTACGAACAGTCTATCATCCGGGCCTTTTAAGTTTTACCTTTTAATTTGTAATCACGTCAGGAAGGCAGACCTGACCTACTCCTGCAATATATCACCGAGGGTAATTGAGCACTGTGTTTACCAAGTCGCTGTTCGTCATGAATCACCTCAGTTGACAGCTTTGCTTTACCATCCGTCTAATGCTGAGTGAATCACTAACACACATTACCTCTCCGTTTATTGGGGGGGGGGGGGGGGTCTAAATCCCTCTATCCGAACCCCCAGAAACATTGAATCCCGAACCCGTAAACTTTAGTCCGCCATCTGAATCTGATACCTAAACCAACTATTCGAATCCCAGCAGGGTCGATACCACTAAACTTACGACGGCCCATTAGGATTGACTTCCATCAGGATGAGGGTCTAACAACACTGGGAGTTAGGATTAGGTTAAGTTAGGTTAGGTTAGGTTAGGTTAGGTTAGGTTAGGTTACGGGCTATTAGCAGTGAGGACCATTAATACTGAGAACCAAACATAAATGCCGTAGTTAGGTCCATTAAAGTCTAATTAGAACTGGTCTACTAGGACTGGGATCTATTAGGACTAGGATCTATTAGGTCTAGGATCTATTAGGTCTAGGATCTATTAGGACTTGGATCAATTAGAACTAGGAACTACAGTATTAAAACTGGGATCCATGGAAGCTGTCACCTTATAATAACCACAGTCTAATCAACCCACGCGCAGGACTCTACATTATCCCGGGTAAGACTGTATTAAAAGATATTCTCGCTAACCTTAGTCTCCCCTCCCCTAGCTCACTATCTTTCAGTTAGTCACTTGAACTTCTCTTGTAAACATTATTATTATTAAAAATTGATTAATTTAATCCTGTCAACAGCTCTCTCAAGTAATGCCCGTCCTCCTGTTCCACCCAATATATTTGCTACATGTACAATAAAATCAATTGTTTCTGTTTTTCATCCTTTGGAAATCAATTAAATATCAAACTTTTATCATGTAGTCTGTTATTTGATATACATCCAGATACGACACATTTATTAGACATTGTCATAGACCTTCACACCACGACGGCCAGCTGCTAACTGAGGTCCCACCCCAGGTCCCACCCCAGGTACCACCCCAAGCCGCTGACCGTATGACGTCATGTGCAGCAAAGGACGAATTTTTGACTCGGGTTGTCTTGATTTAAATAAACTTTGATAATAACTACGAAGGTAATGTACGTCAGTGAAGGGATGTGTTTCATGGTATCTTTGTATCGAGGAAGGTATTGGGGGTAGGGTGATGTAGTAGTGAGGTGTGAGGGAGTCAGGGTGATGTGTGAGGTCCGCCGTGCCATACTAATACACTCACACGTCTCAGACCAGCTGGTGATGGAGGACTTAGTATGCATGGTGACTTAATGGTGTTCTCTCGGCTTTGTGTGACTGTCTGTCTGTTTGTCTGTCTTTGTGTGTTGGTTGTCTGTCTCTGTCTGTCTGTCTGTCTGTCTTTGTTGCTTCTTATCTGTGCTCTGTCTTTCAGTTCCTGTTTCTTTCTTTCTCACACACACACACACACACACACACAACCAGGGCGGGATTATCAAGGGGGCACAATGTCCAGGGCCTACGAAGGTTTAAGGGGCTACGAAATTTGCGACATAATATTTTCACTGTCGTCTGGCCTATTAACTTTCATGTTCCAACAGGGTAAATGAAAATAATCGAGGCATTTGACGAGAGAGAAATAGATTGCAATCATAAGACTAAGTGATTATAAACGTTAATTTAGTATCTGTTTCGTTAGTGCTCAGATATCCTTTACCCCTGACTTGCCGGAAACTAACTATGATCGAGTAGACGTCACAAGGGACTAAATAATCACCAATGAACAACTTTATTCTTAAACATACTGCAAAACAAATGTAGAGTTTTTATCAATCCTCAAAATAATAAGCGACTCAACTCAACCGACTATTATCAATTTATGAGTGATTTTAATTTCATACAAAACACACTTTTCGGCTCTTGGCTGCGGCAAAGTCTTCAAAAATGTCCTGAAAATCCAACTATTTAACATGGGACCGCTCTGCTTCCTCATGCTTATCAATGATGCCCTGAGAGAAACCTCCGCTCGTTGGAAATATGTCGACGACTCCACCATTGGGATCAGTGTGAACAACTCGGCTCCCGACCACAGCGCCTCCATAATATATTGAAGTCTCCAAAATTGGGTCACCAACAATGTCCCAATCAACCATACCAAGACCATGGTTATTCACCTCAACCTCTCCTCTGACCATGTCACACCTCCCTCCATTACTTTGGGCCCCAACACATATCAGGTTGTGGACTCCACCAAGCTTTTCGGCGTGAACAAGGTGTTGGTGATAGTGAGGCTGTGTTCAGCACACTTGCTGAGGAGGAGTAGGCGGTTGGAATTACACTTGCCTAGTTCATTTCTCCCTAAGATTCCCTGCCATATGTCAGAATCTCTGCCATCTCTGGCACTGAAGTCACCTTGGAGCACAACCTTATCTTCTCTGGGAAGAGAGGTTAGCACTCTGTTAAGGTCGGCATAAAATGCCTCCTTGATGCCATCCTCTGCATCCAGTGTTGATCCTAACCGGCATTTCAGTTAGCCTATGTAGGATGGATTGGCGAATGACAAAGCCAACTCCATAAATGCCGCTTCTCTCCGCAGCAGGCTTACCCTTCCAGAAGAAGGCATAGTCGGACCCCCGTTCTGTGAGTCGACCCTAGTCTGGGAGCCGGGACTCACTAATGGCTGCCATGTAGCGACTGGATGCAGTTGACCAGTCAGGTTGTTTATGTCACCTTTTCTAGACCCATCCTCATGTGGGGTGAGCAGAATGGCTACTGAAAAGGGCTGTTCAGTCTCACACAACACAAGAGGCAGGAAGACACCATCACTATCCAGCCACCTACAAAATCCCCCACATATTAACATCCCTACAAGGACTCGGGACACCTACCTGACGCTGCTGGCTACAGGCTCGCCAACCCCGGATGATAATAAGAATTGTGTCAGCCTGGTCGTATCCCTGGTGATGGTGTTAAGGCTACTGAATGATGGTATAACCTATCCCGGGCGTAAAGCTGTCTCCCGCCCACGTTGTATAGTGTAGTAATTTGTCTACATGTTTACAGTTCATAGTTTTTGTGAGGTGTATGGGTACTTGTCCCTCGTGGTAGGGGGCGTAAACATTTGATTTTATTGATGGTGTGGGTTTAACCATCACTATGCAGGTGTTTATTGGTGTGGGTTATGAGGGGCTGGAGAGATCGTCGTTGCCAGGGGAGGTATCAATGGTAATCTGGTTTAATTGCTTGTGGTGCATCATACTGCTGCAAATATTAATCAATTACGTCTATTGGGTGTAAAGGTGTTGTACTCTTTTTCACTCATCATTCCGTGAGTGATTCTTTCTCAGTTAGCGATTGTTAAAAAAAAATATTCGTGATATAAACCATTTACAGAAATTCAAAGGATTAACTAAATATAAAGAAAACAGAATAAAGAATATAGAACTAAAACAATATAACTACGAAATGGATAATATAACTTAAAATCTAATATACCGGCTGGCAATATAAATAACTTCTATAATGGCAGGTAAGTTTCCCTGCGGCAGGTAAGGTACAGCACCAGTCATCACAGTCACGCACAACTCACCCCAAACATAGCCGCTGCGTAAACACCATCCATCCCAGCGTGTTGGTCCCGAGCGTAGCGTAATGGATAGTGTGAGGGGCAAGGTAGCGGCGGCTCAGGCCCGTAAACATGGCAAGGATGGACCGACTGGCAGTCTGTGGGATGTAACCTGTCTGGGATGTCTGGCAGCCTGTAGGATGTAACCTGTCTGGGATGTCTGG